TATACAGCTTTTAATTTCTAATGAGAACAGATGAGCTGAGAAACGGTCTCGTTTGATAAAAAAATGGATATGACTCGGTTGCATTTTTTTTCTTAGAGATTCAAAATATTTGTTTTGATCCAAAATTAGTCCCAGGTATTTAACTGCATTTTTTAGTCCTATCGTGTGTTGGTGCCAGGTAAAACTTTTAAATTTTTTTGTTCAATTAGTAATCAATTTTTGTGTTTTTCCTTTGTTTGTTGCAAGTTCATTATTTCCATTCATTTGGATATCAATTCCGAGTCTGTTTTAAGTTCTTTAGTTTCATTGAGTGTTCTAAAAACATTAGTGTCATCCGCATAAAAAATACATTCGCTGTGCTGTGGTATATTAAGAAAATCATTGATATAATTAGGAAAAAGCAGGGGACCAAAAACAAAACTTTGAGGTAACCCACAATGAAGATTCTCTGTTGTTGAACAATTGTTCGACTGAAAGACATAATGGTTTCTATTGCTGAGGTAGGATTTCAGTAAATTAAGAGGAACGCCTCTCAGCCCGTAAAGGTGACAATTATGAATATGGCTGTTATGATCAACAGTATCGAAAGCTTTAGATAGATTTAAGAGTGTGCAGTACGTCAATTCATCAGCATTTTTGCTTTCAATAAAAACCTCCAAATTTCCACAATAGCAACAATTGTAGAAGAGCGTTTGTTGCGAAATCCAAACAGTTTTTTACTTAACACGTCGAACTTATTGAAAAAATAATTATTTGTTTCGATAATGGGTTTTCAAAAATTTTTCTTGTAACACGAATTAAAGAAATAGGTCCATAATTGCATGGAAGTGACTTGTCTCCTCCTTTCAAAATAGGAACTACTTTAGCTGATTTAAAACAACGGGGACAAATGTTCTCTAATTATCTGGTGGAAAATATTGGTCAAATGAGCTGTTATGTTAGGGTTATTTTTTTGATTAGGTACTTTGACAGACCCATGTCATGTTCAGACATTTCGTTGGGCTGTTCCTTTATCGAGTCATAAACTTTCTGTTCGTCAATTTGTGACGGGAAGAAAGAACTCTTATTTGCAATAATTTTTGAAAAATTGCTCTGTTTTGAAACTCAGATTACAACTCTGAACTGATTGTGACGAAATGGTTGTTCAATTCTTCTGCAGTTATATGATTTTTTTCGGTAAATGAAGTTTTTTTCTGAATTTTGCCCTCAGCTTTGTTCACATAATCAAAACATTTATTGGGTTGTCCAGTGATTTCAAAGATAGGCCATCGTAAGAAATTTTTTTTTTGACTTTAATAGTTTGCTGTCTCAGTTTTTACTTTGCATCTAGAGTACTCTGATTTTGTTAGCTTTTAGTAATTTGTGTTTTTTAGCACTCGCAGTTTTGAAATCATTTGTTATTTAGCTTTTTTTAAATTTTTTTTTGTTTTTTGTGACAATGGCAACTTTGCATCCAATTGCACTATCTTCGAACCCAATTTTTATTATTTTTTTTGTAAAAACCAGTTGAACTCAAATTTGAATTTCTGCTTTGCAGTTCTACCGTACTAATCTTCCTTTTCATATTTTTTTATGAGTCCAATGTTAAAGTCAACTCCAACACCATAAGGATCAAAGATTGCTTGTTCAATAAATCTAGTGATGCATGGAAAATTTGCAAAAGCCAAATCTATGGTCGTTCGAGAATTCTTTGTAACACGCGTGCTGTCATTTGGCCCAGATATCAGATTAAAATCAAGCCATTCAATTTTTCAAGGAGTTGCGTGCTATCTTGTGTAACAACAGGTAAATCTCCACTTATTATATGTTCATCATTTGTGTCAATTTTTTTCAAACATATTGGTCAATAAAATTTCTATGAAATTTACATGTTTTGCAGTGAGCGACTTGTAAATTGCAGTTAGAATCAATTACTGTTTGTTACAGGTCGTCGAGACCCTAAAAATTTGGTTTAATTTTGAGGCTCTACTTTTCAAGATCCTTAAAACGTTTCCTTTCCTAGAATGAATTGCTACTCCTCCACGCCTGCTTTTGGTTTTATTACATGTAGCTATGTGCTAGAAGTCATTTTGGCAAAAAAATATGAAGATTAGATATGTCCATAAGCCAAGTTTCTGATAGAACAACAAAAAAGGCTTCAAGTTTTGTTGCTGAAGCACCATATCCAATTCGTCATAATATGATCAAAGAGATTGTAAATTTTGCTGAAAAATCCTTTCGGTTTAGTTTGGTTTAAATCGTTGGCCAATTTTCCAGAAATGTCTTACGTTATTATTTTAAATTTTTTTCGCAAGAAATTTTAAATGGTTAATTTGTAGAAAAAGCGTCCTATGTTTTGTCTGTGTTCAGAACTGCATGAGAAAGATAAAAAAAATTTTGTTTTCGTTTTAGATTTAAAAACCAAGAGAAAGGAAAATCAGATATATGAGCAGTGCATGCTTCAATCTACTTGATTTTAAAACTTAAATTGAGATAAAAGATCAATTCTACAGATAAGAGATGAATTTGAAAGCGGAAATTACTTTTGGAAACTTCACTAATTACAGAGGTATAGTTAGATAATTTCAACGGACAATGTTTCAGTAAGAAGCATAGTGTTTGTTAAAACCTACAATAGGTATTTTTTCTTTTTTGGTTAGAAGTGAAATTGTTAAATTGATTAAAGGGATAGAAGAGCGGAAATTGTTTCACCATCTTCAACATTTACTTATAACGTAGGTAAACATTTTTATAAGATTTATACTCTTTGCGTTTATTTCAAGATCAGCGGAAAATCGCTTCACTTGAACAACAAAACGAGGAAGTTGAATATATAGAAAAAAATAAAGATTGAGCCCGGTTTTCACATTTGATAGAGAGTTTAGCTTCCATCCATTTACTTATGTAATCCTATCTCGTGAAAGTTTTTGCCATTTTTGAGGCTTTTTGCTTTTTTAGTTTTGACAAAAACAAAAGTAAACTCTTTGAATGTGAAGAGCGCAGCGGAAAATCCTTTTGCTCATTTTTATGTTTTTTTTTAATTTAAATCTTAATTGCCAAAATCAATTTTTTTGAGCTTAGCGGAAAATCGCTTTGAACTCGATTTCTTATTCTGTTTGAATCAATTTTATTTTAATTTTTTGCTGTTTGTTTTCGTGATGCATTGTTTTTGTTGTTAATTTTTGTATCATTTTAGACTAATCAATCATGAAAAATTAGATTTCGAACCTGAAAGAAAGATGTTAGCATCCCAAGTTTTTCTTGTTTCACGCAATGTCTTATCATAATGTTTTTAATAGAAAGCTCACTAAAAAAAGAAAATAAAAACAATGTTAACTTTCATCCAAAACCAATGGAAACTCTTTGACATATCAGTATAGTTCAATTTAATATGTTTTTTTAAAATTAAATTACGTCAGTAAGGAATATAAACATTAACAAATGAGTTGTTTCAATCATACGATATAACGAACATACATAGCCCAAAACCACTGAGCATGTTGAAAGCTTAAGTAACGAAAAAATTATCTATAAGATAAGTTGATTACACTGATTACACGACAACACTGATTGTTGTAGTTCAAACACAATTAGTTTTTAATATCAATAAAGATAACGTAATACCAGCAACACGACAGCGTCACTTACTAATTAACATGCGCTAACTAATAATTTGATACAGGGACTCTGTTATTTGTTTTTTTTTGCTCGGGCGACAAGTTGGCTAATAACTTAGCCGATTTTTCGTCTCTCATCACGGTAGCAATGTTTCGGTTAGCAGTGGAAAAAATTCTCCCATTTGAGTACCGATTCTGGGTTTTTAGGACGGATTTTTTTCAAGAGCGAGTAAATCTTTTGGTGATATCACCTGAGTCCTTATTTTGTTGCTTGCATCTTTTTTGTCGGGGCAAAGAACAGATACACTGCAGTTTTTCGTAGAAGTCACATAATTGAATGAGTCAGCAAAGTTTTTAAGTGCAGCCTCTATAGGTGGTAAGCACTCGTTTATGTAGATGTTGCAAAGATTCCTCTCATTTTTTTATCCTCATTTTTCAAATATTTTCGATAGCGGTACACATCATCTTAATCTTCAACTTATTAAATTTCACTATACAACTCGGCATCAACCCATTGTGCAACTCCCTGCGAGTAGGCAACACGTGATGAGCAATCATATCACTATCAATGACATCAACATGCAAGTGTTTTTACAAAACCAAATAACGTTTTGCGCCAAGTTTTTTTCGTCTTTTGCATCAAAAGGAGGATTAAGTATGACTACAGAATCCTTTCCCGAATACTTTTCCTGTTCCCTCAACCGCTCATTGAGTTCCTCACAATATGTCATTAGTTTATCAAACCTTTCTGCGTTGTCCACTTGTGTTGAAATCATCCACACTCAGAAGCAACTGCTTCAACTCTTCGTCCAGAACTGCCCTCTGGTCAGGTGCTAAACTAAAGTCCCTCACAGCATCCCCTCACAGTTATCAAATAAATCGGGTGAAAAATGGTAAGAATCACAAAGAAAACTGGATTCTTTTTCTTAAATTCTGTTGAAGTTTAATTCAATTCTCCTTCTAAACGCTATTTGAAAGCGCAATGCAAAAACGCAGTCTGAAAAAAAAAACGAAAGAATTAGTTCAAAATTAAAGCGACCGTTTTGACATTATTTCTCCTTAGAAACCTAACATGCCTGAGTTCTAATGAGCAAGGTCGCGCATAATTTTGCGGTGGAGATTCGAAACATAGCTCAAATCGACCTAGAAGGTTGAAATATATATGACTTCAGCCGAACAAAATCGAGCACACAAATTTTAGCCGAGACGGTCAAAACATAGAGTGAGCACCTCGACCCGGGTGGATACTCGTGTTAGGTGAAAAGAAATATTAATTATTTCGACATTTTGTCTTATGTTCATTGGAACTATTTCTTGTCTACAAACCAAAGATGAAACCACGTAGCAGTATTCGAATCAATTTGTTTCATTGTTGATTAATAAACAAATTCAAAGGCAATTGACTGCTTGTAAAATATCTTAAATGCAAATGTAAATTATGGTATTATTAACTATTGACGAGAAAAATATTGTTGAAATACAGCTAACATTTTTATGATGCCATCCACTTCGAAACAATCAAGCACGAATGAGCCGACAATAATTAACAACTATATAACAGTTAAAGCGTTCTTTGAGTCGGAAGTGAGACAATTTGAGATCCACCGGAACTACCTTTCGGACTTCGAGGAGTTCAGGCGAGTTCACCTTTTGCTGTTTTCCTGCATTTTCCAATTGTATTGATTTTATTGCCTTTTACCCGATTGCCCAGAAGTGTGATTTTTTTGTTCATCCATCAAGAAATTATTGATCAAGAAGTATAAAAGTTTTTGTTCAGGGCAGGAACGTTACTGTAAGAAATCAGACTGGGAGAGCTAAAAGCTTGAGCTAATTCAAAAATTTGCGGACGCCCTTCCCTCCCACCCCCTCAGGGATTCGACCCCCTGCCGACCCAAAGGGTCCCCCCTTTGATACTTTTTCAGAAATCCATTTTTGGCAGACCGACCCTAAAACTTTTCTCGGCGCCAATATATACTAACTTTGAGGGGGAGCGCGCGCCAAAAAAACGCGATTTTTGTCAAAATTTTTCAAAAAGTGCCCAAAAACGGCTTTTTTGACTGTTTTTTTCAAAAATTTGCCTGCGGCGCAGAAAATTTAGACAAAATACGGGTGAAACAGTGCTTTGGGAGAGCTCGAAAAATCAATTTAATTGGTCGACCTAAAAAAAAAAGGTCGTCAAAATTGTGGAAATTTTTTTGAAAATCCGCCCCCCCCCCCTCGAGAAAATCCTAGATCCGCCCCTGGTGGTACTTAAAGGTAGCTGTCAACAGAGTACTAAAGTTAGAAAACTCCCTTGCTGGAAAACATCATTTCAACAACCAGGCAAAAGGTTGTCGACAAATTCCGAGTGATGTACCCAAACGCGGGTGTTCGCCTTCGTTGGAAAGACAGAGACGGCGACCTAATAGACTTCGACTCCTACCAAGAACTTCAAAATATTGAGAAACAAACAGAAGGAAAAGTGCTGTCAATTTACATACAAAGAGACGAACTATCCAAGCTGTCGGATCTTCTGATCAAGTCAGCCGACGAGGATAATTTTTTGTGTTTTGCACAGGGTAAGTCCAAATAAAGTTTTGACGCTCTTCTTTCGTTGCCCATCAATGCTATCTAAGCGTAATTTTTCACTAAATTTTTGCCGATAAATGTAAATAGTCGGTTTTAGGTTTTTCTCGAACCCCCCCCCCCCCCAAAAAAAAAAAATAAATCCACCAAAATCCACCCCTGAATGTGATTTGAACGTAAAAACATGAGCTGATGCGTATAATTCAACCTTTAAGATAAAGAACCGTAAGATTATAGATTTCTCGTAACAAGTCTTTTTAAATTTGAGCGGCCAATATCTGCATTAGGGTATAGAAAAAAAACTCGTTAAAAATTATTGTTTCGATCATCAAAGTTCAACTGACTGAAAAAATTACCCCAAGCATAGATATTCTTCATTTTCTTTGTTTTTTGAACAAAAAAAATAGGTTAAAGTAACAACAAACCTCCGCTATTTATCATAGCATGAAGATTGAAACTAGCTCAGTTTTCCGAATGCTTTTCAAAGTATATGAATTGTTTTTTTGTTTATATTTACGAAGTATATTTTCAATTTTTCTTGTTTTTCCTTCTAAAAAAGTAATGGAACACGTCCATTTCTTATTAATTGCGTAAAAGTACCCTTCCAATTCATTTATAGCGCTTCTAATTTGTTTTGAGGCTAAAAACGTGTCACCATACTATTTTTTCTTGACAGAAGCACCGACAGCTGTCTCTCTCTACCATGGATTCGTGGTCTGCGACTCCTGCAAATTCGACAGGATAAGTGGGGCAAGATTCAAGTGCAAAACGTGTCCCAATGTCGATTTATGCATGGATTGTAAAGTCAGAGGCAACCACTCCCATCATGAGTTCTGGAAGGTCGGGTTCTTGATCACTGATGACCCTTACCCACAGCGAAATGAAGGGAGGGAAACATTCACGGGAAACGAATTACTGCTCAAATGAATATTCGTGAAATGTGAAAAGTTCTCATCAGGAATGATACAAGTTGGAAATGTGGAAACCCGAAAACGCTGATATACACGCTTGAATACTTATTGGAACATGAGAATATGTTTTTGTTTTAAGCAACCCCGCTCTATTTTTGTTTCATTTAGATGAATTAGGGGAAAAACTTGACTGAAATGAGGATAGTTTCTAATTACGATGAATATGCAATCATGAGGCGCGGACCCTTTTTTCGGTCGACCAAATTGGTTTTCTGAGCTCTGCCAAACCACTATAAAGACCCTTAAAGACCCTGTTTTAGCCAAAGATTCTGCGCCGCAGGCAAAGTTTTGAAAAACAGGCCAAAAATAGCGTTTTTACGCTTTTTTTTTGGAAAATTTCGACCAAAGAACCGCGTTTTTTGGCGCGCGCTCCCCCTCAAAATTAGTATAGATTGGCGCCCAAGGCGCCTTTAAAAAACTTTTAAGGTCAGTCAGCCAAAAATGGATATCTCAAAGTAGTACAAAGGGGGGACCTTTTGGGTCGGCAGGTGGTCGAATTCCTGAGTGCAAATCATTGTTCCGCTACTGGCAATCATTGTTCCGACGTTTTCGTCTTTGAAAAGTTTCGCCAAAACTTGAAAATACGTTACTTTCGTTATAACGTTTGTGTAAGACAGCTCTAAAACAAATCAAATAATTTCTCATGCATTGTAAATGCGAGACCGTCTAACTTTTGTTGACTCTAGCTTTGAGTAAGCCAAGGTGTTTACTAATACAACCCAAAATTTTCAAAAAATAAGTTAAGACCGAAAAATTAAATGTTTTGGCTCAAGGGAAAATGCTTGTCATACAACTTTCAGAAATGGAAAAATCGTTGTCATAGAGATTTCATAGAGTTTTTGTAAGTAGGCAACTGTATGGTAAGAAGTTTTCATGGATGGAAGTTGTATGATAAGAAGATTTGGTCAACCCATATGCCTGAGGTGATTTTATTTCTATTTCAGACCAATTTTACAAAAATTGACAGCGTATTGGTATCGAACTGGAAATTATGCTTGCACTTCGCTAAAATGCAACTGGCAACGTTGCCTGAATAAAAATTTGATAGTTTAGATGCGCGAATATTTGTTCGTGGCAAATTATCAGCACTCATAATCGTTTTAAATTGATCTGAGACCAAATTCAATTGGTCATATTTTTTTTCACTCAAATTTATAAATGGCAGTAAAAATTTTTTTAAACATCTGAATATGAAAGCAAAAAGTTTACAAATATGATTTTTACTTTAATTTCTGCCAATAATCGATATGTTGTTTGAACAAAACCTCAACAAAGTCAAACAGAATTTATATTTACCTAGGCTCATACATGGGAATTTTGCACTCTAAAAATTTGAAACTTACTTGAAACCAAGTATCTTAATACCATGAACACGGGGAAACTAGCCTGAGAATCGGATAAACTAGTACTTATATTAACAGAGAGGTCTTAAAAAAGAGGTTTGAGTCTTACAAAACTGACAGGCCGGTGACTAGATAGCGCGATCTCTGCTTTTTGTTTGAGGGCGAGGCAGCAGTTCTTGAAAACCTGTTACCTGCATCTTTTCCAAAAGCAAGAGTCACAACAGTAACACAACTATAGACCATATAAAGACACCATATATAGACACCATAAATAGAAAGTATATATAGACCATTTTTTACGCACAACTCTGAACCATATAAATGTCACAAATGAAAATTACAAAATAAGTCAAAAATACAAAAAGGAAAATTGTATGATAATTGTTTTTTTGCTGAACTTTTTTTGTTTTGTTAGAAAAAATCTCATTCTTAAGACAAACGATGTTTTTAAGATTGAAATACCTTGAAACATTTTCTAGGACTATCTTTGAAGCTTAAGTTTTGGTGGAAAGTTGCTTTTTTGATATTTTCATGAAAAAATTGTAGCTTTGATAAGCTTTTTTTCCACAAATTTTTTGTCTGAAAAAAGCTAACTTTATACAAAAATGACGTAAATAAGTTTAAAATACCCTAAAAACTATTTTCAGGTCTTTTTGGAAGCTTTAATTCTGGTTGAAAAATGCTTGGATATTGTTTGATAAGCATTTTTTTCCATAGACTCTGTGAATGCAATTGTTTGATGAGCTTTTTTTGTCTACGGAGGTCAACTCGGGGATGAAAAGACCCGGGAGTGCTGATTTGAAAAAATGATAGTCATACAATTAGTGTGGTCATATAATAAAATTTCGGAAGAATAGTATGAGATTTGCCTGAAATTGAATGATTAGCAATTTAAAATAATTTTACGGCCCTAACAGTACGAAAAATCCCATGTTTTTTCTGTAAAGGTTAACAATCTTGCGCAATGGTGAAATATGACCAATTTCGGCTGCAACACAACGGAGGTCAACTCGGGGATGAAAAAACCCGGGAGTGCTGATTTGAAAAAATGGTAGTCATACAATTAGTGTGTGGTCATATAATAAAATTTCGGAAGAATAGTCTGAGATTTTCCTGAAATTGAATGATTCGCAATTTAAAATATTTTTACGGCCCTAACAGTACCAAAAATCCCATGTTTTTTCTGTAAAGGTTAACAATCTTCCGCAATGGTGAAATATGACAGATTTCGGCTGCAACACAACGTGAAAGTTCTAGTTGCATAAAGCGACCCTGAGTCGCAAAAAGAGAGCTTCGCTCAACAAAATACCAAAGTCTGGAATGTGTGGAAATAATATAAACGAATTACGCTGAAACAGGCTGGATAACTTTTCATAGATCTACTGCGAGCCGCAAAAACTACACTTATTGTTCCGACTTTCGTAACAAAAGTAACGGAATATTTGCAGTCGGGGTGGGCTTTTTTTTTCTTCAGACAAATTTCGACTTTTTAACTAGCCATTTTTGACGGAACTTTTTTTAAATATCATTCAAAAGGTATTGTTGTCTTGAGCTTAAATTTGAAAAGATATTTCAACTGTGATTAGTTTTCGTAAAGTTATGGGGGTTAAAGTTTGCCATTTTGGCCAATTTGGGACGATAAAGCGCGATATAATTTGCGCTATTAGCGCGTAAGCGGAGATTTAATAAGTCAATGAAATTGTTCCATATTTGTCATATTTGTTGAAAGAATCTTATTTGCCATAATTGATTTGTTATTAGGAGCAAAACTTATCACTTTGTACTTAAAATAGCGTGTGGGGGGATGATTTTCGCAACAAATCTCAAATAAAAAAAAATCATTTTATTTTTATTACAAATAATTTTTTCTTGCTATTACTGCTCCATAGACCATAAAAGGCAGTCGGGACATTCAGGGCTTCGCCTTGATACGAGCAGTCTTGTTGTTTATTATCGAGTCAAATCAAAACAAAAAGAAATCGACAATTTGAGCAATCCGTGCCAAGAGCAAAAGTCATGGGCAACTCTAAACTGGATCTTGTAACATACTAGATTACACTTATTTTGCTTATAGCTTTCATTCTCCATACGTCAATTACACATACTAACAAGAATTGCCGGATGCTGTACAAATAGCGCAGAAAATTATTTATGCGCTATTTGTACAGTATAGACCTCAAGTGTTTTTGAAACTTTTTTTTTCTGTTTTTGTTCCTCTCAATTTGAATCGCTTGCTTGTGCGTGGTTCCTTTTTATTATTCCGACCTTCGATACAAAAGTAACGGAATATTTGTGCTCGGGGTGGGTTTTTTTTCAGACAAATTTCGACTTTTTAACTAGCCAATTTTGACGGAACTTTTTTATATCATTCAAAAGGTATTGTTGTCCTGAGCTTAAAATTGAAAAATATATCACCTGTGATTGTTTTTCGTAAAGTTATGAGGGATTGAAGATTGCCATTTTGGCCATCTTGACTAATTTGGGACAATTAACGAGCGATATAATTCGCGCTATTAACGCGTAAGCGGAGATTTAATCCGTCTTATAAATCGTTCCAAATTGGTTGAACGAAGCCTATTTGCCATAATTGATTTGTTACACGGAATGAAATCTATCTTTTTGTACGTTATATGGCGTGTGGGGGGATGGTTTTTATAAAAAATTTCAAATTTTAGAAAAAAAAATCATTTTATTTTATTTCATTTAATTTTTTTAATGTTATTACTGCTGCTCAATAAACCTTAAAAGACAGTCAGAACATTCAGGGCTTCGCCCTGATATGAGCAATCTTGTAGTGTTTTATGGACTAGTAGTTATTTTCATAAATTTAAAAATATAAACAAACTTTTTTGAAAAATTATAGAGCAATTTAGCTGAATGAAGAGCTTTTCACGGTACTTGCTCGCTTTACTTCCTCCAAGTAAATCAAAAAAAAAAATCGAACTACTTTTGTTATTTTGAAAACAATGCTTGGTAAAAGTTTCTAATATTGATGGGCCCTCGGCTGAAAAGTTTTGAATATGATAAAATATTGGACCCATTTGAATATTTTATTTGTAGCGCTTGATTTGGCATGTTATTGTTATTTTTTAAAATCAAAACACACAGGAAGACAGCGCTACTCTACATTTTCATTGTTCGGAACAAATATCAAATTAATATATATAAAAACAAAATTGCTCGTAATCAGGGCGAAGCCCTGAATGTTCCGACTGCCTTTTAAGGTCTATGGAGCAATAATAACATGGAAAATTTAAATGTAGTAAATGAAAGAGAAATAAAAAAAAATTGAGATTTTTTGTGGAAACATCCCCCACACGCCATATTAAGTACAAAGTGATAAACTTTGCTTCTATCAACAACTCAATTATGGCATATAATCTTCCTTGAACCAATTTGAATGATTTCTAAGACGGATTAAATCTCGCTTACGCGTTAATAGCGCGAAACATATCGCGCGTTAATTGTCCCAAATTGATCAAAATGGCAAAAGTTGCAATCTTTAAACCCCCCTAGTTTTACAAAAACTGATCACAGGTGAAATACATTTTCAAATTTAAGCTTAAGACAAAAATAGCTTTTGAATGATGTAAAAGTTTCCGTCAAAAATGGCTAGTTAATAAGTCGAAATTTGACTGAAAAAAACCCACCCCGAGCACAAATTTTCCGTTACTTTCATAACGAAAGTTGGAAGATTAATTAGTCAATCATGATTTAACTCAATAAATTCTTTAAAAGGGTCTTCAGGTTTGAAGGTTGAGGGACTTGCATTCTGATCGGACTTCAGTTTTAACCTCGTGTTTTACAACCAGATCTATTGAGAATGAGGAAACTGAGAACAGGAAGGGCTAAGAGTCAATATTCTAAACCAAACAGTAGCGCAAGAATCTATTCGACCAAAAAAAAAGACTGCGTGACCTACAGACGGCGTATCGGATAAGAAGCTATAGTTAATCAGACAATAGTTTTTCGGATCTATCTCACTTTTGCCAGGGCTTCATTTTTTTGCACATTGGGGCTATTTAAAAACTTTCGAAAAACAGTTTCAACATCAAAACATGTCTTTAAACTTCAAATCAAAATTGATCTATTTTTGTCAGGCGCGGTTCTAGGAATTTCTCGAGGGGGGAAGGATTTTCAAAAAAGTTGTTTTTTAGGTCAATAAAATAGATTTTCTGAGCTCTCCCAAACCACTATAAAGACCCAAATTTGGTAAAAGTTTCTGGGCCGCAGTCAAATTTTGAAAAAAAATGCGTTTATAGGCACTTTTTTAAAGTTTCGACCAAAAAATTGCGTTTTTTCAAAACGCGCTCCCCACTCAAAGTTAGTATAGATTGGCGCCGAAGGCGCCCTTAGAAAATTTATAAGGTCAGCCAAAAATGGATATCTCAAAATAGTATAAAGGGGGACCCTTTGGGTCGGCAGGGGGTCGAATCCCTGAGAAGGGGCGTCCGCCCACCCCCGCCCTCCTAAATCCGCTATTGATTTTTGTTAAGTTTTGAAGTTTTGGGGGTTTGAACATTGCCAATTTGGCCCAATTTGGATAATTACACGCCATAATATTCTTGTTATTAACGCGTAAGCCGAGATTTAATCTGTTTTAAAAATCGTTCCATATTGAACTGAGGTATCCTAATAACTCTTCGCTATATCGAAACTATATCACTTTGTGCAAAAATAGCGTCCTGGCGATGGTTTTTGAAAAAAACATTCGATTGTTTTTCCATTTCTTGTTGTTGAAAGTTTAGTCAATTTTTTGAACCAGAAAATCTTAAGTCGAACGCAGTCGAAATCCTCTTTTCGGTTGAAATTTTTCTCGACCGTGAAAACTTCTCGGCCGAACTCAATCGAAATGTGTTTCCTCGGTCAAAAGTAGTCAAAATATAGACACCTTTGGTCGGGTCGGTCAAAACATATCGAGCCTGGGTCGAGTCGGTCGAAACATTTATTGCAAACGTCGTCCCGGGTCGCTCAAAGTCGCACAAAGCACTTTGGTTGAGGAAAGTCACAACATTGTTTTCGAGTTTTTTTGTGTCGGGCACAGTCGCGTACACATTTCGGTCGCAAAAAGTTGCAACATTTTGAATTGCAATGGTCTCAACATACCTGATTTGGGTCGCAGTGGTCTCAAAATAAGTCTCAGACTTCGGCCCGGGTCCAAGTTATCTTCAGTTTCTGTCTTTTTATCTTACATTGAATTTCATTGATACAATCACGGTTTCGCTAAATCAAAACCCTTAAAATTTGCTTTCTAAGTTCAGCAAATTCTAATTTATTTCTCAACCTATTTAAACATAGCTCCGAATAAATTTGGTTGAGCATTTTGAACAGATTTCTCAATTCAAAACGCATAATGACAAAAATAAAAGCATTCTACGAAGATGAAATTCGAAGGTGCGAACTAGATACTTCAAGCAGTTTCCCACTTCAGACATTGAAAGGAAACTTGAAACTTATATTCCCAAATTTGCTTCATTTTCAAGACGTTCAACTTCAATGGAAGGAGGGCTTCGGGGATTTAATTTCGTTCAGTGCTGATGCAGAACTATTGTATGCAATCAAATTAATAACCGGAAATGGTATTTTGAACATCTAAAAAACACCTTGAACACCTGAAAAAACGTGGAAGCTCAACCAATATACATCAGAACAGCACTAGTCAGTTCAATGATTCTTTGCTAGTATCGACCGATAGAATAGTGAGTTATGACCGAAGTGTATAACTCATAGAGTAATTTCGGATAGGGTACACCGTCTGCTCGTCACGCTATCTTATTTTCGGCCGGATAGATTCGTGCAACTTCTTAGTCTAATACCGATCCTAATCTTACTCTTATACTATCTAGTCTCAGGTTGTTTAACTAGTCTCTGCTAGGCTCAATAGATCTAGGGTATACTGGTTTATTGCGGCTGCTGAAGTACTCGGGAGAGTTCAACTAACTTCTAAGTTAAATTCAAATCTCTCTGGTGCTGAAATTACAAGTAATTTCAGCACTTACAAATAAGTGGATTGTTAGTCAGATGGATCATGATTGGTTAATATTAAATACTTTACATTGGTAAAATATCTAATTTATCCAATCATAAAATGTAGTTTAGATCAGGTTCCACCCATCCGGGTTTTACAGAGTTTTTTTAGAATAGTCTTTCTGTAATTCAAAGGATGGATGATGGACGTTGGTGTTTGGCGAACATCATATTTCTTCTGGGTTTTCTTATTAGAGAAGTCCCAGATTCAATCGTTGTGTCTTCTTCAAGACAACGACTGGGTTTTCGCAACAAACTCAAATCTGATTTCAGAATGGTTGGCTATGTCAGGTTTTTCTGTTTCATTGGTGAGAACTTCTTTGTGTTTGACCCTGTCTGGGAATGGCGTGGAGATTGTGTGTGGAGGGGATGCCTGGTTACTCGGATCTGTACGTATACTTGAACATCGAGGTGGTCATTGGTCTAGTTCAATGAAGTCCTTTTCTGCGAAGTCAAGTCGTACTCTAAATCCTTTGAGTTGTGATTGTGGGCGGCATATTGATTGTGGTTGGCCATTCTTTTTCGAGTGTAGTGGGTTCATTTTGTCTTTGGATGTTCGTCTTTGGTGTTGTATGCTGATCTATATATTGCATAATATAATTTACATTTTATAAAACTTTTATTAGTTTAATGTTTTTTAATTATGATTTTGGTTAGT